TTAACACTCGGCTGCTAACCGAAAGGGTCGTTCGAACCCACTAGCCTCTCTGATCAGAAAGATGTGGCAGTCGGCTTCCAAAAAAAAAGATACAAACAAGGTTGAAGAATCAGAATTGCTGGGCTGTAACCCAGACTCTTCTACTTACTGGCTGTGTAACCTTAAGGAATTTATTTAACCTTTCAGAGTATAGTTTTTCTTCTTATTTTATATATGAGGAAACTAACAGCTAACATCTGTTTAGTACTTTATTGTTTAAAGTTCCAATACTACAGTACAAATATGCAAATAAATTGTGAGATCATAATAATACAAAATAACACCTCATAAACAATTATAAAAAAACCACTGTTGTCACATCAATTCTGACTCATGGCAACCCCGTATGTTACAGAGTAGACCTGTTCCATAGGGTTTTCTTGCTTGTAATCTTTACAGAAGCAGATCTCCAGGCTGTTCTTCCACAGTGGTTCTGGGTGAATTCAAACTGCCAACCTTTAGGTTAGGAGTCAAGCATAAACCATTTGCAGCACCAAATAATAGAACACCACAATACTAACAGCTCATTTGTCAGGCACACAAGGCTCTTCACATTCTAGCTGCATTGTTATTAGGGCAGTAGGCAGCAACAGCTAACTTTTTTAATGCATGGTATGTAACACACAGGAGCCCTGATGGCACAGTGGTTAAAGTGCTCAGCTGCTAACCCAAAGGTTGGTAGTTCAAATCCACAGCCCCTCCAAGGGAGAAAAACGACAGTCTGCTTCCATAAACATTTACAGCCTCATAAACCCTATGGAGCAGTTCCACTTTCTCCTACAGGGTTGCTATGAGTCAGAACCAACTCCATGGCCACGGTTATGTAACACACACTGTATTAAATGCTTTCCATAGATTATCTGGTTTAACTTTCTGTCTTAGTTATCCAGTGCTGCTATAACAGAAATACCACAAGTGGATGGCTTTAACAAAAAGAAATTCATTCTCTCATAGTCTAGGAGGTTAGAAGCCCGAATTCAGGATGCCAGCTCCAGCGGAAGGCTTTCTCTCTTTGTTGGCTCTGGGGGATGGTCTTTGTTATGTCTTCCCCTGGCCAAGGAGCTTCTCAGTGCAGGGACCTCAGGTCCAAAGGATGTGCTTTCTCCTGGCTCTTGTTTCTTGGTAGTATGAGGTCCCCATGTCTCTCTGCTCACTTCTCTCTTTTATATCTCAAAAGAGATTGGCTTAAAACACAACCTAATCTTGTAGGTTGAGTCCTGTCTCATTAACATAACTGCCGCTAATCCCATCTCATCAACATCATAGACGCAGGATTTACAACACATAGGAAAATTATATCAGATGACAAACTGGTGGACAATCATATAATACTGGGAATCGTGGACTAGCCAAGTTGACACATTTTCAGGGGGGCAACAATTCAATCCTCAAAACAACTTTATGAGATTAGTTCTATTATCTCTGCTTTACAGATGAGACCATTTTGCCCAAGGTTACACAGGTAGTACTAAGTGGTATACAAACTTCAGAACCCATACTCTTAACCACTAAATATTTTTGTCTTACTTTTCACACTATATTTTAATTGTCTATCTTACCCATGACACTGAAAGCTCCCTGACAACTGGTTTTTGTTCACTTTCATCCCCCAGCAGTTAAAAATCCATTGCCACTGAGTTGATTCCAACTCATAGCGACCCTATAGGACAGAACAGAACTGCCTCATAGGGTTTCCAAGGATCTGCTGGTGGATTAGAACTGCCGAGCTCTTAACCACTGAGCCACCAGGGCCCCCTCTAGCACTTAGCAGGCATTAAATAAATAGTGAACAAATATTAAATAGTGAAACATATCAACGTTCTCAGGACATACACTGCTCTCATATGCATGAGCTGATTTGCTCCTCTTGACAGCTTTGTGCAGTATGTAAGGTTTTTAATGACTTCACCTAAATCACTCAGCTATTAAAGTTGTGGAACTGGGATGTGAACGCAGGATTCGTTGACTCCTAAGTCCATGGGCTATTCATTCTACCAAAGTGCCTATCTACCAATATCTCTACCTGCTCTCCCCTTCTCACCAGACTATCCGGAGGATCAGATGAGGTAAAGATACTAAAACATTTTATATACATTTCTACTGAACAGTTGACCACAGCTGTGGGAAAAAAAAAACCTCCATCAAAACATTTCTCCTAAGTGATTACTTTTCATTTTGAGATTTCAAAAGATAGGGCTTTAATATAAATATCCTACCTCTAGATCAAGCCTGCAGATCCACAAAAGCAATGTGTGGACCCCAGAGTAAAGTTATAAGAAGAATTGCTTGCATTAGTTAGATTACCCTCTCACTGAATTACAGGTAACTGCTCAAACTTGATTTTTATTGTAATACAGAAAGCTTCCTCATAACAAAACACTTTCAATTCCAAGCGTAAGTCCAACCTTCCATCATTCTGCCTATTTAGTAACTACAAAAAAAAAAGACTCTGAATATTGGATATTTTTGTATGCTCAACTGTGAAAGCCATGGAAAATGATATGTTTGCTAGCTAAATTCTGAAGCTTGAACAAAAACAGAAAGAATTATTTTGATCCTTTTGGTGCCGATTTTATCCTCTTTACACCTCTCCCCATTTTTTCTTAGTCTGAACTCTAATCAACAGCCACTTCATGTTTAACATATCATAGTGCAATTAAGTCCAGAAAACTATTTTCCTAAAGATGTTTCCTCCGTTCACACCCCTCTCTACCTTCCATCATCACCATTCTGCTATCAGAATGAACATATCACTAAGCTTTAAATCAAACCGCTGATGAATACATGGAGATAATGTTTCCGTGGTTAATGCATGCCCATATCAATACCATCCCCTAAAAAATAACATAAAAATGACTCGACATGCTTATTTATCTACATCTGACAAATTTCTAATCACCTGAAATCCTTTAGGAGAAAATTCAATCTATAGAAATACAATCCATTTAGTTTAAATCTTATCTATGTCAAAAGAGAATCAAATGAAAAACTCCATCAGTACCAAACCATCTCACCAATGAATATTTATGAAATGTCCATATTTCCTGTCTTCTCTCTGGTTACATAAAGCAGTGGTGCCAAGACTCATCTCAAGATTATTAGCCTGCAATACAATGATGGGCCTAATTGCCTTGCAAACCAGGACACCAATAAATGTAGTCTTCAAGCAATCAATTTTAAAACGGGGGGAAAAAAGGCCTAAGCTCTTTCTGCATACTTTCACAGACACTGCCTGCCTAGGAAATAAGTCCAGTCTCATATTTTTCAGTCTCATTCATCAGTTCTCAAGCAAAGAATGCTCCCTTAACAATCTCAATATCATCAAATCTATTTAAATTCCAAATTCCAGGACTAGTTTTTAAATGCACCACGGAAAGGCAAAGGCAGAGACATCCTACAGAAAAAAATCACATTCCACTTACATTTTTTTCCATTTTCAGTTTGGGAGTGGATTTTTCCCCCTAACTTTCTTTTTATGATACATGAATAATAGAAAGAAGATACCTTCCCCTCCTTAATTCTACCCTAACTGAAATCCTTACTAAGTTTACTCTCTGGGTTGACCTAACTTCTAAGTATGATACTGATATAAACGAAACCAACAAAACAAACAAAAAGATCAAACAGCTTAAGATATCCTTGAGGAAAGATAAGTCTTTAAAATACCTTTTCTGTTCCCTGCAAAGTTCCCTCTAACAACCCTCTGATTACTGTCCCTCCACTATCACAGTCACAAGAACTGTCCATTTACGCGTTCTAACCCCTAACCCTCTTGTGTCTCTTGGAGGCCATCTCAATCCCTCCTCTCCAGAATCATCCAACCAACCTCATCCCCGCACTGCTCATTGCCTCCTCCATCCCTACAACTCCTGGTCTCCCACTCCTTAGATTTCCGCTCTGCCACTTCACTATCGTTAACCACCTCTCCAGTCTTACCAGCTTGTCTCAGACATTCCTTCTCCAAAACTACCTCTGACACCTTGGCCAAAGGACATTTTCTCTAACATACCATCCCCAACCTTGCTCACCACCTGCCACTATGCTTTGAGTCCAGCCCAGCAGCCTCAATACTGTACCTAGGGAAACATCACATCTCTTCCAGTAGTTCTAAAATCACCCTGAATTCCATTCCACTACGCTCCCCCCCCTCAATTTCAATCCTTGTCAGCCCATTTTGGGCCTAACTCCAACTTCCCCCCATCCTGCCAGCTCACTATACTTCCCTCATTGAAAGTTCTACCCCCTATTCCAACCTCCATCAGCCCATCCCAGGGAAACCCCAAATTCCACCCCCTCTGTTCTATCCCAACCCCTGCTATTCCATAAGGCTCCCTAAATTCCACATGCCCTGGATAAAAAACACCCACTTAAGGCTTAGGTCCCAATCCATGCCAAATCCCTCATTCCCAGCTCCTACCACCTCCATTAGCCTGTCCCGGGTCCACCCCAAATTCCACCCTCCAGAATTAACATCTCCCCGGGGTCCTATCCCAAGCCTGTACATCCCACTCTCCATTGAAAGCATCCCCCTACCTCCCACCCCAGCTCAGATCCCAAGCTGTCAACTGCTCCAGGCCAACCCCAAATCCACCACCTTCATTCAGTCCCCTCCCCCATTAAAAGCCAACCCACTCCAGACTTATCTTCCATCTCGCGCCCGAGACCATTCCAAATTCCACCTCGATCCCCTACTCCACTCTCCTGTCCCAGTTCTGGTCATTCCCTATTAAAAAATTCCTTCCCCTTGTCACCCTCCTCCCCAACCTGCTTGGGTTCCACCCTTACCCCACCCCCAGCCCGTGCCTGGGCTAGTCTCCCCAACAGCCCGCCGTTCCACCGTGACCTTAGCCCCCTCCCCCAAACCCACCCAGGGGCTCCGCAGCCCCCACTCTCATTATTCCCAGTAACACCAGCCCAGACTGAGGTCAAGCGGACCAGGTTGGGGGGGAAGGTTTCCTCACCAGCAAGCGACTGCAGGCGAAAACGGCGGCGACTGAGGCGGCGATGCCCTTGTCTTCTCTGGCGGCTGCAGCGGCGACGATCTCGCTCTCTCGCCCGTGTCCGTGGGGTGGTGGATGACGCGCAGGGACCGGGAGCCTCCTCCTCTTCAGCGACTCGGCTCTGAATCCTCTGCAGTAGCCGCCGAGGAGACCGACGGGTTGGGGGAGGGGACGCTCTGCTGCGGGGCGAGAGAGGAGGGGGCGGAGGACCGCTGAGAAGGGCGGCGAAGGAGGAGCCGGCGCGGCGCCGCGACACGTCCCACCTCAGTACGCCAGGACCACAACTCCCGGCATGCCCTGCTTCGGCCCGCGCACGGCCTACACCTCCCGCCGAGAGCCGGGGGCACCGCGCTTTTCCCAGTCCGGGACAATGGAATAAAGCCAACCATCCGTGGGTAGCTGTTGTAGACTAAAAGACCACATGTTAGGGAAGTCAGGTTGTCCCGCACACCTCCAAGTGACGAGGCTCCTGGCGTTTCCACCCGCCCCCCGACACACACGCAAACACAAAAAGTCATCTCCCGTCGGACTACATTTCCCAGCACTCCCCTGCGGCCTCCGACCCGCTTTCCATACCCTCCTCAGACCCGGTACTACTACAGTTCCCGAGGAGTGTGGTCTGTGTGAAATGCTGGGAGATGCAGTTCTCAGTTCTTCCTCCATGTTAAGAAGAAGAAGTGAAAGAGGAAAGAGGGAAGGGCTATGCCAACCCACCGAGGACAGGCCTAAATGGGGCTAGTTCACCTGTGAGTCTGTACTCTACTCACTATCCCTCTGTTACCGCTGTCTCGCACCAGGACTAATTCAACAGCTTCCTCCCTGGTCTCCCTGCAAATCTGACGACGATTTGGCAATTTTAATACAAAAGTAAAAAGGGCGTACTTCTTGACCCAGCTCCATTACTTGTAAGAATTTACCTTGAAAAGGTAATCGAACCACTAAATTGTACACTTAAAAATGGTTAAAATGATAAATCTTATGTATGTTTTATCAAAAAAAAAAAAAATATATATATATCGAACAATTTGGAAAAGATGAATGCACAAGGTTGTTATATGAGGTTGTTGATTATAGAGGGGAGGTACGTAAATGTCCATCAACAGGGAGCTAGTTAAATAAGTTATGATATATACATACAGTGCAGTACTAAGCAGCTGTTAAAAATGATGATACAGATCTATTTATTGACATGAAAAGCTATTCACAATTCATCCTTAAGGGAAAAAATTGATTACAGAGCAGCATGTCTAGAATGGTCCAATTTATGTGAAGTTTGAGACAATACTCTATAACCATAGAGTTCAGGAAAGAGGTTCCCCAAAATACTATCAGTGATTGTCTTGGAGGAAAGGGTGTCAGATTTCAAGTAATTTTTATTTTCGTGTTGTCTGATTTGTTTAAAAGGAGCACATACCATATTTTTAAAAGCTTAAGACTATTTTCAAAAAATACAATTTCCAAATCCAGCCACCTCTCTTTGCTGCCTAAAAGCTTTCCATGGCTCCTCATTGCCATCTGCAGTGCTCCAGGACTATACCTGTTTGTTTTTTTCCTATGAGCTCCACAGTTCATGATTAAAACCAATAGTGTTGGCCACTTCCAACTCACAAAAGAACACTAAATTAGTAGGGAGAATTTTCCCAATATTCAATGCCTCTTCTCAAAATTTTCCCTCTTTTGGCACCTGTGTGTCCATTGCCCCTAGAATACCATATAAGATGATCTGATTTAGCACAAATCATATTTAGTTACAGTATTTTTTTATTGTATATGTCATTCTTTTGTGTTCTGCAAGAACACAAGGTCATTCGAGCTCCACTACCTAGCCCACTGGAGAATTGCAGGCCTACAGGAGAAAGTCCAGGCAATCTAGCTCAGGGGATAGTTTTCGTCCACAATCCCACTGCAGCCTATTTCTCCAGCTTCGCCCCGTGTCAGTTCCTTTTCTGAGAATAGTGAGAAAAGTACCTATGACATGTTGGTTATGTGATGGGCAAGTCCCTTCCCCTCTCGAAATGTTGCATTGATGGTTCCTTCTTCTAAACTCTGTTTTCACTTCTTTTCCCCACTTCTCCCAGTGGCAGAAAGTGGGAGGCTGCGTGGTCAAAATGAGAAGGGTTCTGGTCTTTCCAGGGAGTAAAGCATTATCTGAGTTAGATATGAAGAAGCTTAATGAACTAGGAGGAGCCCTGATGACACAAATGGTTAAACGCTGAGCTCCTAACCGAAAAGTTGGTGGTTCGGACACATCCAGCGCCTCTGCGGGAGAAAGAGGTAGCGATCTATTTCTGTAAAGATTACAGCCCAGAAAACCCTACATTTGTACTCTGTCTCATGGGGTTGCTGTGAGTTGGAATTGACTTGATGGCACCCAACAACTACAGTGGACTAGGAATCTTGGTAAACAAATGATTTCTTTTATAAGATCAGCACAGAGCTGGTTCCTATGAGGCGGAGGTTAAAGATGTCCCAAATGTCTGACTTTTCCAAACTGTTATACCACTCCATCATCTAACATCAACTACTCCCTCTTGCCTCATTACTCTCCCTCTGTCTTTGGGTTCCCTAACTTCTTCTACTGTCTCACAGAACTCACCGACCATATAAAGGAAATGGCTCACGAGGTTTTGGAGGCCGGCAAGTCCGATTCGTGGGTCAGGTGTAGACTTCTCCCTGGCCCTCAGTCTCTGCCCAGAGGCACTCAGCTTTCTCGCTCTGTAGGCTGGGAAGCCCACTGCACAGTCTCCTGCAGGTCTCTCCTCCTCCGGTGGTGGTGGGCCCTCATCTTTGCTCTGGAATTGGCTCTCTTTTAAGGCAAAACTGACCAATCCCCTTTGTAGGCCACGATTACCCTATCACACAATCACCTGGGTGGGAGTTGCAAGGCCATGGCTATAAAGGCCACACACAAAAGTAATTAATCCACCACAGGCCACCCCCTGGCTTTTCTAGCCATGGTTCTTTCATATTTGGAGGATAACGTCCCCTTCCCAATCATTCCACCAGTCTTAAACAGTCATTAACAATTAGTCCTTCAGTAGGGCAAAGAGTCCAAAGGATGAGTTTACTCAGGTACCAGCCATTCAAGTCTGCTGTGGGTTTCCATCTGATCCGGTCATCTTGTCTTCACCTTTTCTGGTCTCTGACAAAATTCAACTGAGAAAACATTATTCCCTTGCTCTGAGTCTCTCCCGAGGTATCAGCATGTTAGGTTTCCCCCACTGCATAACCCATTTATTCATTCCGTTTCCTTCAGCTATTATGTCTCCTTCTATTTGTCATTTATTTTTACCCAAACTTCTCCACATTAGGAAGGAACATCAGGTTCAGCTGCTGTGCTAGTCCAGATTGCTGGTAGCAAGACAAGTCTAGCAAGTGCTTCCCCCTCAGTCCACTGCCATTCACTCCCATTCACGCTGGGTAGGGTTACATAGGTACAACACTAGTGGGCTATCTCGCCCACTAGGCAATTCGGCAGTATTCACTGTCAACCCCAATTTTGCCAGATGGGAAGGTACAATCCATCCCATCAGGCCCTTGGGAATTCTAGCATACAAGTTTAGGGTTGATATTTACAGTTTCTTAAGGATCGCCCCTGCTTCTGGCACCTGCAGTTGCATCCCTGGTCCTGGAACTGCAACAGCCGGCAGGAGAAAAAACAATTTTAGGTGATATGGAGAAGAACTGTACAGTAGCACTAGCATCCTCCCCCACCCCTTCTTCCTCAATTCCCCTATAGAAGCATAGGATTCTGTCAAATGGTGATCCTCCCTTTGTCCCCCTCATGTTGTATGTGAGCACACACTCAGGAGGATGTGTGAGCCAGTCCTTCATGCTTTTATCTCCCCTTGTTTTGGACAACAGATGTTTCAATTGCCCTTTCCAATTCTCTATGAAACCATTACTCTGAGGGTGGTGTACAACATTGTATATCCATTTAATATGTTCCTTGGCCCATTGTTGCACTCTTTGGGTTGTAAAGTGTGTTCCTTGGTCTGATTACATATAACTCAGTAGCCCAAATTGGTACAGTATCTTTTGCTCCAATCCCTTAATGGTATTTCTGACATTTGCATCTGTCACAGGATATCCAAAGTCTAGTCCAGAGTAAGTATCTATTCCTATGAGGACCCATTTGTAGCCACCTGGTACCACCGGCATCATTGGTCCAATATAATCAACTTGCCAGCTATGTGCAGGGCCTTCCCTCTGGGGAGTCTGCCCCATAGCCATCTGCAACCTCTTTATCTTTCTTGCTGGCAGACAGAGCAGTCCTTAATGGCATTTTGTGCTTCAGAGAGTACAAGGGGAATGTGTCTAGATTCAGCCCATCTCTGCATTGCTGCGGCACCAGCACGTCCGCTCATTTCACGGACCCAATTGGCCACTTCAAGTGAGTGTACCAACAGGTCCACTTGCTGATTCCAGTTGCCTTCCAATCCAGGAAGAGGGTTTATCTGATGGACATCGACGTGCCCTACTCTGATGCGCCCTCTAAGTTCCCAGAGTGCTTTCCACAGGTTCATGCACTACACAGGTATCCCCTTAATAGTCCAATTTTCCATCACCCATTTGCCTGACCATATAGCTAGGCCATTGACCACTGCCCATGAATTGGTAAAAATCCAAATATATGGGCTCTCACCATTGTGAAATTCTTCCATCACAGCTAGGAAAACAGCATGCAGTTCAGCACATTGAGCTGAACTGTTCTCACCTTCTTCAGTCAGAGTCTTTCCATTTGCCGGTCTTAACACAGCAGCTTTCCACATCACATGTTGTCCATGTACCCTGGAACTGCCATCTGTAAACCAAGCAGCCTTCTGCTGGTCAGGAGAAAGTTGTTCATAGAGCACTGTCCACATAGCAATGGGCTCTGGCAGCTTCTCAGGTGGTTCCAGGGTAGGACCTATGGGAAAAGAGGCTACCTGTTCTTGGATACGGTGGGTGCCTCCTTGCATTCCCCCAGTAGCTTGTTCTTGTATGAACCATTTCCATTTTATTATGGAACTATTTTGGGCACCGGCTTCCTTTTTAGAGCATTTCTGACATCACCCAAGACATTATAGGTATTTCAGGTCTCATGATTTTATGTCCTTCTGTCATTGAGGCAGTCTCAATCAATGCCCAATAGCAGGTGAGTAATTGCCTTTCAAATGGCGGGTATCGTGCTACAGCATCTGGAAACTTTCTAGTCCAGAATCCCAGTGGTTGCTGCAGGG